TTTTGAAATGTGTTTATGATGAGATATAGAAACTAGATCTCAAGGTCAGCTTCAGTATCTACAGGGACTAGCTGGAAATTTATATTTACAAACCAGTTCGTTGGTCTTTATTGTATGCAATTATGACTCCTTTTTCTTATCCAATATGGAATAATATGTAATATTTTCACATGTTGAAAATTTTGTTTACAAGTAACCTTTTTTTTTGAGCCTGACAAACTAATTATGCGGGGGTACTCTTTCTTGCCTATAATTTCATATCTTTCTGTAAGCAAAGAATGTTTTGAAATTATTTGCAAACATGAATTCTAGCACCATTGTTATTTTCTTCCTTAAAATGTTAATGAAATTGTCTACAGAAAAGGATTTGTTTATCCTCTTTTAGTATAAATAGTATGTGGATGTATTTATCTCAAGAAGCGTTACTTACTGGTATACATTTATCTCCAGACTCATCAAGTTACATAAATTTTTTTTTTTTGAGAGATTTTCACTGTAGGGCGCGTGCGCTCGCCAGACAGACAGAGAGAGACATAGAGACAGAAAGCGAGAAATCACCCCCCAGGGGGGATGGTCACGCCGCAATCCCCTCTCCTCCATTCTCCTCTCGGGATCTTGGGCACGCACGCACACGCGCCCGGCGTGAGTTTTTTAAGCCACCGGGTCCGGGACACGAACCGCGGTCGACTACGTGGGAATCCAGCGACATAGCCATTACGCTAACTGCTGGTTCCCAAGTTACATAAATTATGTATGGAGTTTGATCAGTCATATTTCTTAAAAAAAAGAATTACTTTTTAAATTATCTGTTGATTAGTATCATTTTTTAATTTGGCCAAAGAGAGACAGAGAGAGAGAGAGCAAGGGAAAATGAGGAAGCAAGCTGCCAGGTTGGGGACTTGAACGACAGTTGGCCACGTGAGATTCTAGTGTCTTAACCACTGTACCACCTGCCAGCCCCTTAGTCTAAAAAAAAAAAAAAAAAAAAGAAAGAAAGAAAAGAAAGAGAGGGAGTAACTTTCCCTGCCCTCCACTCCGCAAAGACTTGAAGAGACTACTCTTTTTGAGCAGCCTTTCCTAAAGGAAAAGGACACAGAAGATGGTACACAGATGCCTGGAGGGCATTTGCTGCCATTTTACACAAGAGATCTGTGAGGTCATTAAACCTAAGACGATCCGCCTCTAAGCGGCGTCCTCCCCAGTATCCCCGTGAAGCGCATCTGGTGTCTAAGCGCATCTGAGAAACCCCGCCCTTTATGGTGGCCTCGCTAACTCCTGACCGCTTCTCCGCAGTGGCACTTCTGAGCTCTTCGCCACCTGCGCCAAGAAGGACATCAGGGTGTGGCACACACTGTCCAACAGGGAGCTGCTGCGGATCACCGTGCCCAACATGACCTGCCACGGCATCGACTTCATGCGCGACGGGAAGAGCATCATTTCAGGTACCTGCTCCAGATCAAGACTCGGCGTTGGACTCTGGCTGCGGTTTGCAGAATCTTCTCCTCGTTCTGCGCTAGTCTGTGCATATGGATAACCTGGAATAGCTTCCCACTGTCCACCCCCTTCCTGCTTCTAATCTAGCCGCTCCTTGGAGCTCTCTTCCAGCTGGGAAACTTTACTGAGCTAGGAAGCGCCAAATAGCAATTTCTCTTCTCCCAAATTGCTGCATATAATATATATCTTTCTTTCTAGCAGGGAAGTTTAGCAATTTAATTTTGGTATGGAGCTGAGGCCCTACTGCATAGAGGGAACTTGTGTTAGAACCTCTTTTGTTGTATAAGAGATAAAACTCTGACTCCAACTAGTTATATCTCAAGAGAATGTATTTCTCCATCCTTCCTCTTTTTTATTTTTTTATAAGAAGTTTTTGCCATAGGGCACATGTGCTCGCTGGAGTGAGAGAAAGAGACAGTGAGAGAGAAAGTGAGAAATCACACCGCATTCCCTTCTCTGTTCTCCTCCTGGGATCTTGGGCATGCATGCACATGCGCCTGGCATGAGTTTCAAGTCACCAGGTCTGGGACTTAAACTATAGTTGCTGTGTGAGAGTCTGGAGATAGAACCACTACAGCATCTGCTGGCCCCAGTCCGTCCATCCTTTTATGAGAGAAAAGGAGAGAGGGAGACAAAGAGAGATAGAGGGAACCAGCAGTTAGCGTAATGGCTATGTTGCTGGACTCCCACGTAGTCGACCGCGGTTCATGTCCCGGACCCGGTGGCTTAAAACTCACGCCGGGTGCATGTGCGTGCGTGCCCAAGATCCCGAGAGGAGAATGGAGGAGAAGGGATTGCAGCGTGACCATCCCCCCGGGGGGTGATTTCTGGCTTTCTGTCTCTCTGTCTCTCTCTGTCTGTCTGGCGAGCGCATGCGCCCTATAGCGAAAACCTCTCCAAAAAAAAAAAAAAAAAGATAAAGAGACAAGGTAGTTTTGACAGGGCCCCACCATGCAACGATCTTGTCCCAGCCTCCCAGTTGGCCAGGTTTATGTGCCCATAACTGTTCTGACTCTCCCAGGAACCCAACCTGCACCGCCCATGCAGCCTCCAGCCTCCCAGGGGTGGCACTACCTTCGTGCTACCACGGCTTAGCTGGAAACTTACTATAAATATGTTTTACTATCTTGTGCCAACGCATTCTTACATTAATGATAAGTGCTGTGCTATTCTATCTCTAGGTACTTCAGTGCACCTCTCTATGTTTCTATAAAACAATCATCTCTTAATATCTTTTTATGTCCAATCTCTATGCAACTGTTGTCAGTGGTCAAAAAGGACTTTTACAGGCCGACCGTGTAGCATGCTAGTTATGGCAGCTGGATTCCCCCGTGGTCAGCTGCATGGTTTGAACCTGAGCCCACTGGCTTGAAAAATACTGTGTGTGTGTGTGTGTGTGTGTGTGTGTGCTCGTGCGCACGCGTGTGTGCACACCCCAATTTCCAAGAGAATGGAGAAGAAGGGAATACAGTAGAGCCATCCCCCGGGGAGTGATTTTGTCTCACTTTCCCCCTTTCCCTCTCTCTTTCTGGCTCTCTGGTGAGCACACACGCCCAGTGGCAAGCTAAAAAATAAAACATAAAGGGACAGCTACTGGTTCACATCAATGGAAAATCAAGTGGATTCTGGGTGCAGCTACTAAAATAGTGACGTTGGAAGTCATCTCGTCCCCTCTTTTCCTGTCTCAATTTCTTTCTCTTTGGCGTCCCCTCCCCCAGGCATGTCTCCACATAGCGCCCCCGGGAGCTCTCGGCTTGCATTACACGGAGAGTTGAAGAAGCTTGGAGTCATCAGCACCTCCCCTTTTCCTCTGATCCCCACATGATGTGCCCTAGGACTCGCCTGTCACAGCATACTCAGAGCCTGCGGTCCCCACCCTGGCCTTAGCCGCCAAGGCCGCTCTCCTAGAGCATTCCAGTAGCTTCCTACCAGGTTCTCTGCTCCCCCCTGCCCAGTTTGCTCCTTCCCCAGTGTGTTCTCAACACAGAAACCAGGAATCTGCTTGTTTTTTAAAAATTATTGGAGGGCGTATGTGCTCTGGAGCCCAGGGAAGGACAAAACACCCCCCAGAAGGGCATGATAACGCCGCAATCCCTTCTCCTCCATTTCTCCATCCTATCAGGATTTGGGGCACCCACGCACATGCACCCAGTGTGTTTTTTCAATCTGTTAAGGTCAAGACTTGAACTGTGGTTGGTCTTGGGGGACCTGGCTTCCTTAACCACTAGGCTATGAGGCTGGCCCCAGAAATCCGTTTTAAAATGGAAATCAGATCGTGCCACTTCTCCAGTTCAAAAGCCTTTCACCTTCTAAGAATCAAAGATAGGTCCCTGCAACCACCGGTAAGGCCTGACATAACCTTCCTCACCTCCGACCTTTTTGATCTTTGTTTGTTTGTTTGTTT